CTCTCTGACCCTCCCATAGACAGCAATGTAATTACCACGATCAAGGTCCAGAAACATAGCAAGGAGATCGGTAAAATAATCCATGTGACATCAGGGGTTCAACCGTAATTTTATGAAGCTACGAGAATACTTTTTGTATGCAAAGAAAACAAAAATAACAACACTCTAAAAAATGCTGGGTTGTTTCAACCCAACATTGGGTCAAATATGGACTAACCCAGCTGTTGGGTTAAATTTTTTTATTTAAAAAAGCATTTTTTAGATTGTACTTTATTTAACAATTCGTCGTCTCCGCATCACCCAGTAGTGCCATTTTGGAGAATATCCACTGAACGTAAACGGCAAAAATGCTATTCTGTGTCAGCTGCGTCACGCGGATACGTTGTTTTCGTTCAAATCAAACAACAGAATAGTGCAGCTGACACAGAATAGCATACGCTGTTTACGTTCAGTGGATATTCTCCAAAATGGCACCAGAGTGACGCGGAGGAGATGAACTGTTGAATAAAGTCGTTATTTTTGTTTTCTTTGCATACAAAAAGTATTCTCGTAGCTTCATAAAATTACGGTTGAACCCCTGATGTCACATGAATTATTTTACCGATCTCCTTGCTATGTTTCTGGACCTTGATCGTGGTAATTACATTGCTGTCTATGGGAGGGTCAGAGAGTTCTCAGAATGCATAAAAAATATCTTAATTTGTGTTCTGAAGACGAACGGAGGTCTTACGGGTTTAGAACGACTTGAGGGTGAGCTTTTTGGGTGAACTATCCCTTTAAGCTACAGAGTTGTCACTTTAAGGGTAATAGTGATTGTTGTTGCACCCTTAAAGGTACAATATTTTCACTTTTTTTTCTGAGAGTGACAGAATGTACCCAGCAGTTTCACCTCAAAATGGCTGACAGCAGCTAGACTTTCACAGTGTGTGTAAAACTCTAATGTAAGCATAAACTAAATTCCAAATGCACAACCCAAATGGGAATTGTGAGGAAAGTTCATCTGTAGACTTACACATCCATTTATTAGTGCTAGTGATGACATTTATCTAACCATGGTATGCTGATGTCGACTTTAAAGAGCGGAAGGATAAAGACCGTAGAGAATACAGGTGGTGGAACAATTTGAGAAGATAAGCCTCTGTAACCATGTTCAACCCTAAAAAATAGCTCAACATTATTCAGTCCCTTGATCTTATTGATGAATAATATACTGATAAGAACTCATTGTCTATATTAACTGTTAATTCCTTCAAATAATTGTTTTACTTAAATTGAATTACTCATTCCTTTGTTTTAAAGTAACAGCAGTCTTTCAAACCCATTCCTTTGCAATACTGTAATGATCAGGCCAGGAACCAACACAGACGCAATGAAGATATGTAAACATCTCTGAGTTTTGTCTAGATTCATTTACCTATTCAGAAACTCTCTGTCATCTGTGTTGATGGTGGTGAGCTAAAGGCCCAAACAATTCCAATCTCCTCCCCTCTCTCCAGCCCTCCACGGACAGACAATGGATCATTCACACTGCCCTGCCTTCATGCCACTGATTGGCTTATGGTAAAAAAAATAAAACATTCAGGCCGCGTGGGAACTTTCCAGCCGAGATCATAATCAGAAGGGGGAGGGAAGGGAGAGGGACAGATACAGGATACAATAGGCAATAAAGACTTTATTTACATCTCATATTCCCTACCCAAACAAATCAACAAAAACATGGGCCTAATAAGACAAAGCTGACAGAGCTGGTGCCATTACACTCGATGCTAAGCTAAAGCTAACTGCTTTACTTTCAGTGTCTGTGCATATGTGATGTATATACATTTAAACATGAATGCAGTTCATGGTACAAAATGTTTTGTTTTTTTTGGTCAGTGTTGTAATGATCGTGAGATTAGTTACTATCGTAATTTTTACTTGAGAAAGTGAACACCGGAACTTGGTGTTGATTTGTAACTAAGAGACCAACAAAACAGCTGTCAGTGTACAAAAATATGTTACAGTATAAGATTAACAATACAAATTGTACAAGAATGTAAAATGATCTACAGTGCGAGTGTAAGAGCTCGGCTCAGGACCACCATGAATTCTCTTTTAATCATGAAACATACTGAGGCTTAATGGGTCAAACTGTCCTGGGACACGAGCTATGATGTCAGTTAGCCCACATGGATCACATTTCATCTCCTCTATGATGAAAAATCGGTAACACTCTGCAGAAAGGTTATATATGTGATATAACAAAATGAGAATCTAGGATCAATTTTATTCAGTATCATATCTCAACAAAGGATGAGCAGTTCTCTAAAGGAAGTGAAAAATATTGAACATATTTGGGGCCTTCCATTTATTAGTATTTGTAAACTCAGCTGTATTCTGGCTAGCACACAACTAAACTTTAAACAAAGAAGTTTTCATGTGATTAAAAATTTGGCACATTATTAATGTTCTGAAATTCGGATCAAGAAAACAACTTTACGACTGTGACATCAGCCCTCGGTTCTGTTCTATTCATTTCACAGATGCTTTGTAACTAAGAACATACTGTTTAAATACTACCAGACCATTACTTTAGGGTCAAGTGCACATTACGAGTTGTCTCAGTGAGGACAGCAACGTCTCAACAATCCATTTAAAGCAGCACTATGTAACTTTTTCTGTGTTCAAAATTTGCAAAATGTATAATGAGCGAGTACATCATAAATTAATCTTCCAAACCGCGTTTTTGTCTTATTGCGAATCACTACGGTACACTTATAAGTACTTATATTTGGACTATTGTAGCCTGGTCGGGTCGTCACTGCTGCGGAGTAACACATACCTGCGTGAATCGCCATAGACATAAACTTGGCTGACTATACAATATGGCTTTTTACACACAGAAGAAGTTTTATTATGATAAACAAGATGGATGTGTGACATTCTAGACATTAGTGACACATTACAATCATCGACTTTAAAAGAGGGAAATTCCAACTGAAGTTTTTGCTCAGTTCAACAGATGGTATTTGTATGACGAGCTTTAGAGAGGGTCTTCCTAATAAAAGACCCGGAAAATGGCTGCAACAGCTCATTTAGAAACATTTGCTTAAGATATAAAAAAAGCAGACGGTTAAACAAACACAGACCAGTGAAAGTAATGGAGAGACTAACAGCTGTTTCCATTAAATCAGCTTGGTGGAGCCAGGCCGTTTTGGCAACAAGCTAATATCGTAGTGTGCCATTGCTGTGCCTTTGAGAGCTTCTTGACGAGAGAGGTCCTGATGAATATGTTTTTGGCAAGGTGGCTTGAGTGTGTGTAATCATTTGTGACAGTGGTGGAGACGTGAAGACTGAGACTTCTTGAGTGCTGAGAAAGCAATGTGTCCCCTTTCCAAAAAAAACCCCCTCAGAATTCCTATTCTAGAGTTGTTATGACTTATTGTCACTGTGGGCAACTGTACAAAAACAGTTTCGATAGGAAAAGGAAATGCTGTGTTATACAAAGTAAATGTCTTCATGCATTGTGATTTCTTTACTTTGGTACTTTTTAAATAGCTCTCTTGACCATAAAGAAAACAAGCATTTCACTGTACAAAGTAATACAATTAAACTAACGACACCTTTGTAGTTTGTACCTGTAATAGTATTAAGTACGGAACTGGTTAAAGCTATGAAGGACAGAGCTGTCTGTTCACGCCTCAGACAGCGAGAGAAAATTTGGCCCACTTCAGTTCTGGCCTGCATCCAACACTGACATGTTTCAGGCTGGATTTCAGCAGCATGCGTGTATGAAAAGAGCTAGAACTTTTCTAGAACTTAAATTATACAAATAATTAGACTCATCTCAGATCCAGGTCTTTCCACTGAAAGTTCTCTTTTAGTTTTCCCCCTGTTCGCAAAGCCTGGGCTACTTTTCAGCAAATAATGATAAACAGGTCTGACAGCTTGGCAAGAGGGGACAACTGACTCCTCAGAGAGATTCTGAATACATTTCACAGCAGTTCTCTCTATAAGAAAAGGAAATGCCAACATCTCGCAGTAATAGTCTCAGCAGATTGAACAATTTCATCCTTTGTGAGGAGAGAAGCCTTGAGTCCTGTGTGTGAGTGAAAATGTACAGGGCTCATATTCTGTTTTCTCACTGTGTTGGGCAAGCAGTTTCATTACTTGTTGTGCAATAGTTTGCGATTTTAGAAAGTGTGATTGATCTATTATTTTAAACGTTCACGTTCTCCTAAAATAAATCACAACAGATGAAAAACTGCAGCACTATTCTCATTTCCAATTAGTTTAAAATTTGATTTTGACTTCACTTCAACAAAAACATGCTTGTGAGAAAGCTATGTTAGAAATAGACGTGCTCTATTACAGTTTTACTGTGGAATGTTAGAGAATTTGCATGAGACTGTTTGCTCCTTTCCTCCCAAATGGGCCATCTAATCTCTCTAATTGGGAAAAGGAGAAAATGTTGAAAGTTGGGGGTGGGCTGTGGGGCAGTTTTGGCCAGCTGCCCAAGCTTTGTGGTTTGAGTGCTGTAGTGTGATAGGGTCAATGTAGCATGGATAACATAACAGAGTTCGCTCTGTTCTCCAAAAACTGCCTTCTCCTTCTGCAGATCTGGGCCAGGTGATGATCATAATCAGTAACTGAGAGATGGAAAGCACAGGATTATAAATGCAATTAGGATGTCAATGTTAAAGATATATACATCAAATATGTAACAACAAATATATGTAATTATTGTTTTATGTAATTATAGTTCAAAATGCAAACCTGATACTATCTGGATATTGAACATGAATGAGCAAGGGCTTTTTGTAGAATACTGTAGAGTACGAGGGGACGAGGGGACAGAGAAGTTTTGGTGGTGAGAACTGGAGGAAAAAAGAAAAGCTGTGTGTGTTGGAACAGCTGATATTTTGCTCCATAGGCAATCAAACCAACCAGAGAGGATCAAAGGATTGTTCATACAATCACTTGCTGACCAAATGCAATGCCCAATGCATGTCATCACAGAAAACATCTTGAACTTTCTAAGTGTTTCTGGTAGAAATGCATGAGTCCACATGCCTTGACTTTTGGGCAACTCTTTAATAACTGTTGTGTAGATTTTGGACTTCTTGAATGAGACCCACTGACTGAATATGAAACTGGAATATTAACACTGAAATAGTCAGATCACGCATTCAAATGGAGGAGTGATGATTGCAAAAACATCTTAAACAGACAAATCCAATTCTCCAAATAAAGCAAAATAAAACTAAATGCTTGTTAAATTCATTATGGATTTCAAACATGGAGAAACATAAACCAATGTAAAATTAATCCATATATTAACCATAAGAACACACACAAATCTGTTATTTCATTTAGAAATCAGTGAATTGTTTTATTTATGTTCTTAAATAATGGGTATTTAAAACAAACTTGACTTGATAATTTTCCCTTAAAAATTTCAATTTCCTTTCCTCTTTGTGAGGAATGAAAGCAATTGATCATTATTTTTCTGAGATTTCAAAGTATCAATATACTGTAATATGGTTATTCCGTTTTTAAATCAAACAAAATAAAAATGATAAATTAACAGATGGTCTTTTGTAATACCTCTTGAACTCTTGAATATTTCCCTATAAATGTTGTTCCTTCATGATATTTCTCTGGAGCACAGATACATATTTTTATGAATACTTATTAAAACACTTTTTAAGTCAGGCTGAAGTCTGTCCAGCTAAATAAATTAAAAGAATTACACACAATTTCTTAGAACTGAATATAGCTAAGCATTGCTGTTTGGGTATCTACTGAGGACTGGGCAGGAACATCGATTGAGACATGCAATGCACTGTGATAGCCTAAATATTCTAGCACTGTGTCACTGTAGGCGGGGTCTGATACTTTATCAAGTCAAATTACGGCCCACACCCTCTTCACATTCTCGACCTTCATCAAGTTCTGACCTCCACCCTCCAAGTGACGTCAGAAATCACAACAACTGTCCGGACCAATAGTGTGCTGCCTGCATGCATACTTCTGGGGTCCGGGTAACTGAACAGATACACCAAGACATCTCAGAAAGGAGTCAGAGTGGGTTGAACTTTTTGAAGCTTTGTTATTTGAACAAGATGCAGTGTGAGATCGCTTTTGGGGTGTTTCGATATAATCTATAAACCGTTGATTTAGTGCTGGATTACTGCAACAAAGAGCAGTGAGAATAAAGACTCGTCGCGCGTCAAGATGTTGCAGCACGTTTTGCTTTCGCGGCAGTGAGCAAATGCGATTCGTTTCCAACCATTTGGTGTTTTGTCCATGGAGGAGTTGCGATACACGTTTCTGCGGATATTGAAGGAACAAGTATGAGCACACTTAACTATCTGAAGTGGTCAACAGAAGAACGCGGCTAGACGAACAAGGGGAGCTGTTTGTCTCAATCTCTGGTGGAGAAACAGTATGGATTATGGACCAACAAATGGAATTCCTTGACCCAATAAATTAACTTTCAAGCTGCTGCATGCTGGCACATCAAGGAATGGCAAACTCTGGCAACTCTGCAGTCATTCTGCGGCTGCAAATAATGATTTTGTCCATCGGCTGTGCGTTGATATGTTATAGTCGTTTATCCACCGCATCACCGGCACACACTCAGCGTTTGATATGCTGGCAAGCCATCATGAAGTGCCAAGGAGAGCCGGAGTGTCACTACGCGTATACTCAGTATCTTCACGCGTGCGGTCCGGTGATAAACGGCAGCAGGAAGAAATGTCCCAGCCATTGCATTTCTTCCATCATTCAGCTCAATCTGACTGTGAACGGCCCGGCACTGGAGGACTGCGAGTGCGCCTCGGACACTCTATGCAAGATGACCAAGCGAGCCATTGAGCCCTGTATGCCCAGAACGAGCCACATGGGCTGCACCGAAGCTCGTAAGCAGTGTGAGAAGGATCCCGAGTGCAGCACCGCCATGCGGGACTATCTGTATCATTGCAGGAAACTGTTCGGAGGAGAGCGCTGCTCGGACGACTGCCGGCGGGTCATCACGAACATGCGCTCCATCCCCAAAGCCCAGCAGCTGGACACTTGCGTGTGCGACGGCACAGAGAGGACCATATGCGAGTATGTCAAAGTCAGCATGAAAAACTTCTGCTTTAACGACCGATACGGCGGAAGTGGCTTTTCAGATACCGAGGACGACTTGGAGGTTGACTACGAGACGGAATATGAGACCGAGGAGAGTGATGCCTGGGATTTAAGAGCACAAAAGAGTTCGATTATGATGTCCACCGTGTTGACAATTTTTCCTCTTGTCATTATAAGATAAGGCGTGTATATTAGACACAATATTGTATGATTTTGCTAAAGTGAAAATATTACCTATAAAGCCACAGAAGAACTGTTGTGCGTCTCCTAATAAAACACAAAAGATGTTTGACTGAAGCAGCACTGCAGACCATTCTGTGTGTGACATCAAAGTACAGCGAGAGCGATTAGACAGCATTTTTTTTACATTTTGTTTTGATGTCAAATAAGTCTGTCGCTGTTTTGCATTTTTGTTAAAGCAGTGTTGCTGTTGTAAAGTTATACAGCTACAGTTGTGTTGCTGGGTTTTAAAGCAGGTTTGATTTTTGATTTTCTTCCTTATCAGTCTGTCTTTACAGGATTTCACTGTCCACTCTGTTCAAATGTGGATGAATGGCTACACATAGATGTGTGCGCACTGTCAGAGCTGTGTGAGATCACTACCATCCTGCTTTTGTGGGGGTGGGTAGGGGTGTTAAATAATTATAATATTTTTTTTGTTTTGTTTTTTCCCAATAAGTTTTTAACATTCTAAAAGCTCTTTATTCCAGAGATACTACAAGCTAGTCAGTGTATTCAGTAGGTGTAATGTATTGTAAGTTGCTTCAGAAGTATTGCAAGTATTACATACAACAATAATAAAACAGCATTGACAAAGGAAATTTACTTTTGGTACTAAAGTACTTTTAAAAGCAAGTACTTCTGTACTTTTACTTAAGTAAAAATCTGTCTTTACAACTTCTACGTGTAATGGAGTAATATTTGACCTTCAGTATCTGTATGAGGTGTGTACTTTGTCCGCCTCTGTACATAGTTGAATGTGCGGGCGTACCACGAGACGTGCTGCACCAGATGTATCTCATATGGTAAATTACTGACAGAAAAGTAGCCCCCCTGAAAGAGTAGGGTCTTCGAATAATTCACATTGTATTTGGTCCTATTAGCTAGAAAGTCCTGTTTTCCTTACGTTTGCTTAGGCGCTTAAAGAAGAAAATGAGAGAAGAAAACCAGAATCCTATAGTGAAAGGTTGTTTTTCAAAACCTAGTTGAGCTGCCAAAATCTGCACACCATGAAAAGGAGTAATTTGTCTTTATGTAAAGAAAATATGTTGGAAATATGTGCTCCGCTATATATTAAGTTATTATGAAACTTCTATTCAAAGAGATAAATACTGGAAGTTTATTTTTGTATGAAAGATTGGTTAGTGTAAAATTCTAGGGAAACAAAGTGATTATTGTAAATGTGTATAATGTTTCTTTATCATATAATTGTGTGAATAATGTTGATAAACAATACCATGTAATACTGTTTATAATGTTCATAAAGATTGGCTTCAAATTATTCCAAAGATCATCTGACTTATGTGTCTGGTTATTTCACTATACAAACCAATACAATGTATATATATATATATACAAACCAATACAATGTATATATATATATATATATATATATATATATATATATATATATATATATATATATATATATATATATATATATATATATATATATATATATATATACACACTACTGTGCAAAAGTCTTAGGACATTTGTATTTTCGCCAACAAAAAATGGTTAAGTCAGTTATTTCTATCTATTGCTCTAGTGTGTCAGTAGGAAATATCATCAATATTTTGCCATTAATTTTAGTAATCCAGTTGGATTTTGTTGTCAGACAAGGAGTCTGACAACAGCCAGTGCTCCACACAGAGATCTCTCACCATCATCCAGTCCGTCTGGAGTGACATGAAAAACAGAAAAAAACTGAGACAGATTAAATCCAGAAGAACTGTGGCAACGACTCCAAGATGCTTGAAGAAACCTACCTGCAAAGCTACAGTACTGTGAAAAGTTTTAGGCACTTGTGTAAAAATGCTGTAAAGTGAGGATGCTTTCAAAAATAATGTCATAAATAGATTTTATTTATCTATTAACTATCAACTAAATCAAATCAACATTTGGTGTGACCAACCTTTGCGTTTAAAACAGCTTTCGTCATAGGTACACTTGCACAGTTTTTCAGGTAGCAGGTAGGATTCTTGGAAGCGTCTTGGAGTTGTTGCCACAGTTCTTCTGAATTTAGTCTGTCTCAGTTTTTTCTGTTTCTTCAGTCACTCCAGACGGACTGGATGATGCTGAGATGAGATCTCTGTGTGGAGCACTGGCTGTTGTCAGACTCCTTGTGCATACAGCAATCTCACTGGATTATTCCATTTAATGGCAAAAGAAATGTTTAGAAATGTAAACTGATATTTCCTACTGACACACTAGAGCAATAGATAGAAATAACTGACTTAACCATTTTTTGTTGGCGAAAATACAAATGTCCTAAGACTTTTGCACAGTAGTGTGTATATATATATAAATATATATATATATATGTGTGTGTGTGTGTGTATATATATATATATATGTATGTCTAATAACATTTACCATCTGCAGCTAGATTTTAATGATTGTTATATTTATCAGTTGTGCAACAGATGTCTACTGAGAGTTTTTATGCCCATCATGCGGATCTGATGTCAGGCAAATGAAGGTATGTTTTTGCTTTCTATTACACATTTGATAGCAGATTCATGAAATAACATACCATTTTAAAATATGCTAATAAAATGAGCATTAAATATCACAAGTCATTATAAAGTAATTTAGTCAGTAATGTTCTTATCACCAAAACTTCAATTTCCACCTGACGTCCCTCGCAGTTTGTAAATATGACCAAAGTCATTATCACGAGCATGTGCTAGTCAAACATTTTGGCTCTGTCTGTGCCTGCACTTGACCTTGTAAACATAAATGTTTACAGAGGGAGTTAGTCTAAGTTCCCAGAGACTCTTGACATCTAAGGAAACAAATGAGGTTGTCTTTAAACAGGATCAGAATTGAGCATGAGCCAAGCAAAGCCTTGACTGGCTTATTTGTTCAAAGCTTGAGTGTTTATTTAAAGTCTTCACTCAGGCTGACAAGGAAAAAAAGCTGTGTTTGCGTGAATGAAGCCTCAAGTAGCCATCAAAAACTCACTCAGTGTGCTACTGTGTGTGTTTAAGTGGGCTTGTTACTGCTTAAAATTTGAGTAGCACTCAGTGTGAGTAGCATTTGGGAAGTACAAATCTCCTCTTGGATTCCATATGCATCTTTGTTCAGTTACGTTTAATATAACAATACCAGCTTGATACCTAGTTAGCATTTCAAATACAAATGTGCAGAAAGGTATTATCCCACAAAATGTAATAGAATTACATTACACACAGAAATTAATCTCTGAGAAAACACTGAATTTTTATGCTATGTTACAAGAGTTCTAGAGATTCAAGATGGGAGCCATGGTGCTTAGTTCATTTCGAGGCAGACGTGGGACAAGGCTTCACAGTCTTAATGAATGACGGAGAAGTCGAGTGGCACTTCTGTCATGCTAATACTAAACACACAATAGAGGCAGCACACAATGACCTGGCACTTCATTCTGTCTTCTAGCTGACACCTCTAGAAAGAGCAGAGCGAGCATTCTTAAGAGAGCAGAAGGAGGAGATGGTACTATGTAAATTTTGTTAATCGGATCCAAATGGAGGAGGTTACTTTTTCAAAAACTATATTCTTTAATATCTTTTACACTTTATTTGTATCTATACCTGTTAGGAACACATTTTACTAGAAAAGGTAAAAATGTAAATACATTATTTTTGGGAGGGTAAATACTTTGCATAAATGAGCAGTATTTTTTTCTATTTTTGTTTTGTGAGGAAACCTTTGGATTTCATATTTTTGTGATGTAAAAATTTATCAGAAAATATGTATTTATTGATAGTCTGTATTTTAGTTACTCTTTAATGTATAAGCAACAATGGCATGTAGAAATAGTTTAAAATATTTTAGAGAGATGAAATTTTTCTTTTAGTGTTCATTTTTTCTTCTTTTCTTTCTTTCTTTCTTTTAAACCAGATATTTATCAATTATTTTCAACAGGTTTCATGCTGAAAATACAATCTAAAAAAATGCTGGTTTAAAAACAATCATTGCTGGGTTAATTGGCAACCCAGTGCTGGGTAAGTAGCCTATTGGACAGAACACATATGGGTTATTTGAATAGTTGAGTTTTATTTAACTATTTAAAAAATTACTATATTGCTGGTTTAAAATGGGCTGGAAAAAAAAAATCACACACAGAATTAATAGAGGCAACAGCAATAATCAAAAGATGAACATTTATTAATAAGCAAGAACACCAATGGAAAAAAAGACAAATTTAATTTGGTTTATTTGGGTGAATAAAGCATAGTTTACAATATTACATACACTCTTAAAAATAAAGGTGCTTCACGATGCCATAGAAGAACCTTTTTGTCTAAATGGTTCCATAAAGAACCTTTAACATCTGAAGAACCTTTCTGTTTCACAAAAGGTTCTTTGTGGTGAAAGAAGGTTCTTCAGATTACAAAAAGGTAAGAAAGAGATGGTTCTTTAAAGAACCTTTGACTGAATAGTTCTTTGTGGAACCAAAAATGGTTCTTCTATGGCATCGCTTGAAGAACCTTTTGAAGCACCTTTATTTTTAAGAGTGTACATTCAAACTTGTTTAACAGGCATTTAAGAAATAAAAATACGTAACATTTAAAAGTAACATTTTAATTCAAGTGTATTCAACCGTTCTGTGTTATCCTTTTTAACCAAAATAGTTCTGATTCTCGTGCCGGTGTGTCGCCACAAATCTGAGCCGGTGATGGGCTGCTGTTCGGCGGGGGTGTTGTGCCGAAATCAGTGACCTATCAAAAACTGTGACCAGGGGTCGCTGTTCAGCAAATGTTCTCACGGGAGCGTGCACGCGTTAGATCAGACGATAGTAGTAGGCTAATACACTAGCTGACAACAGCAGCATTCACGTTTCATTTCTTTTCTATATAAGAATTTAGATGCTGGTGACCATATCTAGCTTGTTTTCTTTGGTCTTAAGACATGAAACTTGTTTTACAGCACCGCTCGCCATATCTGACACTGATCATTCGGCTTCAGCGTCTGATCTAATGCGTGCACGCTCCTGCGAGAACATTTGCTGAACAGCGACCCCTGGTCAGTTTTCGATAGGTCACTGATTTCGGCACAACAGGTGTTGAACTGCAAACCTCAGACCGCCATCTCGCATTTCACTCGTAACTGAAAGATGCTGTGACTGACTTCATAACCTGCCCATAAACTGAGATTAGAGAACATATTTTAACGGCAAAACACATTAAATTCAGTATTATAATGATTAAAAATCAGTTTATGTTATGCAAGGCAAAAGGCGTTTGCGTCATGCGAAACGACCGCTCCTGATGCATTTAGCTGACTGACATCTTATCCCTGTATGTTGCGTTGCGTAAAATAATATAATTTACAGCACAGTAAAGACTTTATAGATGGCATAAAACGTCTACAATCCTTTAATTCACAGAAGACGTGCACCGGTTCGGCGGCGCTGAGAACCACTCTCTCCTGAAGAGGATGCAGAAATCCCGCACTCTGACTGTAAACAGCTGAGTTGAAGTAACCCCGCGCTGGGTTGTTTCGTCGGAGGGAGCGGGAGGAGAGTATAGTTTCAGCAAAATTGACCCAGCAGTCACTAAACCAACGGCTGGCTAAACTACCCAGCATATGACCCAACAGGCTCCACCCAGCAGTTATTTAGAGTGTATTTGCAAAGAATGCATACTGAACTTCCTGCGTGTTGTTTTCTCTCAGTTTGAAGTAACAAGATGAGGTGAGCTGACTATTCATCCTCTTCAGGTGAAGGGCCCCATTGGGACTTTGTAAAAGGGGAACCATTTCTCAAATCAGACATGCTGTGTTGAACCTGTCGCATCCAGTTTTTGTTGAGAACAGACCCCTTTAAAACTGACAGCACTGTTGTTAATCCAGTTATGTCCACATATTTGAGTTTAAGGGAAGTGAAAAACAGCAGAGCAGAAAATGTTGTTTAAGATTCCTATTACTTTTACATTTTTAATTATTGTATTGGGATACTGATTCACAGCATCCTCTCACCTCATCAGTTGACTCATTCCTGCATCCAGCTCATCTCTCTGACAACATCCTTGCATCCCTGGACCAGAGCTGAGCTAATTCGCTAGGGCAGCTATCTCTAACATTCAGAGCGTCAAACAAACACATATCAGTTCATCCACACAGCACTGTAATAATCCATGTATATTTACTGTATATTCACTGAAATGCATAATGTACTGTACTTTTCTGTCAATAAACAGTGTATCAGATTGCTAGCTGTGCTTTTACGTTTCAAAACAAAGATTCAAATATAAAAAACGTGGCAAACACGCTCATAAAGCCTCACCAGACGCGCGTTCATTCCTCTCCACGGCACCGCTGAACGTTCTTCACCATATATAACTTGTAATATGATTATCATAGATTGATATTATCAGAGCCGCGTGTGCAGTACCCTTTCCGTGAGGGAAACGCGCCTTCAAAACACCCAGCGGTAAATTCCCAGACGTGAAGACCCCCCTCTCCCCCCTCTAGTGACGCAGAGGTGTCAAATTTTACTGCTCTGAAATGGCCGCTGAGTTGAGAGACATCAGACGCGCTGGCTGAGAGCGCTTTTGATATGGAGAGCGCGTCTTTGACAGAAGCGCGTCTATTGCGCAACCTGGACAAAACGCTACATATCTCACCGATGGAAGCACGCAGAAACGTGAAAATGGTCTTGTCTGAAAGAAGAGATCCTAATCTAAAAGATAATATATATAAATATAAAGATATCTGTGGCTGTTTGCGGCTGACTGAAGCAGTGCTACGAGTATAAATGTAAATTCGCTCAGAGGTGACAACATTTTACATCGTGATTCTATCGAAGATAATTCGATCTGTGATTGTCACACAATGAAATAATCTACATCGTCAAATTCCTGAGAATGAGAGCTTTCTTGTGATATATGACTTGACTTTTTTGTGAAAAATATATAAAATACACATTCTTCGTAATAATTATTCGCAGTGGTTAGGCGGAAATTCGTGTGTGGGACGAATAGATTTCTAAGCTTAATTTTACTGCTTTATGAATATAAAAACCACAATGTATGTATTCTTTGTAAAGAAGACACTCCAAGCTTTCAAATGAACCCATATATGGGCTTATCCCATATAAGGAAGGCTATGTAAATGAAGCATAAACATTTTTTAACGCGATTTTGCAGAGTTTAACTGGTTTTAATAGCTTACTATTAAAACAAACGTATACACATACACACATGCTGGTTTTTCTGTTAGAGTATCACAGTCATTTAACTTGTCCTTCTGCTTTTGCTGCTTCAGAAAGTTGGAGGTTGCCTGTAAGTCCAACCTCTAAACATTTCTTGACTGTGGATTCTGTGACCTCTGCGATCAGATAAAGCTGAACCATCAAATAAAATCAAGTACATCTTTTAATGAGACTTTCAGGATGAAAAAAAATGTGCTATGCTTCTTGTTAATGCCTTGTCATTGAATCATGTAGCCTCTATCTTTGTTTCCATATTTTATATAAAAAAAAGAGGGGGGGAAAATCATTTGATTTTAAACTTACTTTTTAGTTTGAGGAGCTCCTCATTCATTATATAAACAGGTTCATATTCTCCACCAGACATTCAGTTCTTGGTGAAGTGTAGTCTCCAAGAAAACAAAATACTGGCCCTTCTCATATGTAAGTGGCAGGGCATCCACATCATCCAGGAACGTTGAGGACACCTCCAGTCCTCGCCGTCTCATCCTGTAGGTGGCCAGCTCCACTCTGCCTTTCACTCTCATGAAGGTCTTCCTCTGAAAGAGAACATGTGTTTGTATAGAAGTATACTAAGAAGGTAGTCTTTATTATGTATACTCGGACCCTACATGAGCAAAATACTTTTTTAATATTGTAAATATTTTTTTTCTCTTTTTAAAGTTTTGAATTCTAACCTGTTCTATGCACATGGTGGCTCATGAGCTTAAAGCTGTGAATTATAATGAATAAAGAGCAAATGGGAAAGAAATAGCTCCTCAAACATTTCTTATGATTTTCAATATTGAAAACAGCTGTGCTGCTTAAAATGTTTGTGGAAATGGTCATACTTCTTTTTCCAGAATTCTTTGATGATTTTTCAAAATATCTCTTGATCAAGTTAATGCATTCTTGCTGAATAAAAGTATTTATTTTTTTATTGCATTCTTTTTTTAAGTAGCTTTATTGACCCCTTACTACTGAACAGTAGTGTATACATTTTAACATTTGTATATGTTGTATAAATGAACATTCATTAATATATTATGAGCAAATGTTGAGAGATACAAAAGGCTCTGACCCGTATCCAGCTTGGATGGCTATATCAGACTCAAACACAGCTGTCTTGCCGCAAGGTATCCTGATGACATCACACTCATCTTCATCAGACGTATCCGGCTCTCCACAGTCGTCATCCCCATTACACCTCAGATTTTTGTTTATGCATATCCCTGAGGGCAGAGTAATATTCTTAAAACTGAATATTTTTTGAAAATTCACCCTACAACTAAATTTCTACCGGCCAGCTTTGCAAAGACAAAAAATACTAACCTGAAGCACACTGCCATTGAGAGTTCTTGCAGACAGGTGGAGGGTCCATCTGGTATTTGGTAGAAGGTTTACAGGGTTTCCGCTCTCCAATTGGGAATATGCATCTAGAGCCTTTAAACTGCCCAAAGACCTCAGTACCTCTAGAACGATGCTGTGTTATACACAGACACAGTTGAATGCTTCACATTTATTCATCTTAGACGAATTGTGTGTGACTTGTTGCATTATTATTAAATCAGAAGGACTTCACACGACAATTTGAAAGACATGATACATTCACGAGTGTGAGACAGATGAAAAGACAGGTGTTGAAATAGAGAGAGTGACAGAGGAGAACAGAAATTGCGGTACTGTCATATTAGTGCACGGGTCGCAGGATGTCCACTGGAACCAGGTGCTCATTTTGCAGTCGATTGATCCAGGATCATTAATTTCCCGCACCTCTCATCTTGACCCTTGTCTTTAAGAAAGATAAATAATGATCAGCTTAATAATCACTTACAATTCCAATTCCAATCTTGTGCATGACTTTGGTTTAACATAAAAAATAAACATAAAAGTACTATTTTCCCACATTTTCCAAATCTAAACGTATAGCATGCACTCCAATTTTTGTGTATTTGTCCGTTATGCTCTTTCCATTAACCTGATAAAGAATGCATATCGTTACACAGAAAGCAGCTAAACCCTTCATGGTGAAGCTTTGGACGGTCCTCTGTGTGGGAATTTGTACGCTTGTATTTAAGCATCGATGTTAATAATTATCGGCAAGTTTTTTAGAGTTGACAGGAGGTTTGGAAATGTGTGTGTCTCCAAAGGTGGGATTTTACCATAACTGTCTGTTAAACTATCTGACTAACATATTTCAAGCTGTTTTTGCCTGCTTTTACCAGATTTTTTGCACAGAATCTATATTTTCTTATAAAAAAAATTCTTGTTTTAAAATGCTATTAGCATTCTCTGTATTAAGTACAAATCATTCATATTCTACACTATAGTATTTAATATAGCAATTTTATATAGATGAGGATAAATAAAATGTTACTCAATCCTGGGATTGCATTCTATTTGTTATGTTTCGATGGAGTCTTTAAAAGGTAAATATGTTTAAATAAGACAAAAAAATCTTTAAACAAATAAGTAAAAACTATGCAATTTCTACGTTTCCTCAATTTAGTTTCACTTTAGTTCAGTTTAGTGTAAAACTAAACCCTTTTTTCTGACCATGAGATCATTGATTTCACAGGCATGTTGAAATCTCAAACAAATACTATTGACATCAGAAGTCCAAAAGTGATTACTGGTTGCAGGCTTTTGGGAATGCGTCTGTTTGTTCAATGTATATGTATAAATGTCAGTCTTAATGCACAATCCTATATATGGATGTGTGTGGTTAAGTATTACTTATATTTGAATTCCTTCAAATAAATTATTTGAAGGTGCACTCATACACATAGTGAGAAGTGTATTTACTTAAGCCTAGATTCCTACTTTCAAAGTGAATGACCTATCAGCAATCTGCACTTCATCTGTGCCAAATCAGCCTTCACTCATCAAATTCAACCATGTCACAAAACAATACAGCTCTGATGATGTCTTTGTGCAGGGTCAAAGAGGAATGTTGGCCAGGCAAAGTGGAGGTCAATGAATATAGATCCTTGTTCTGTACACTACAGCTATGTGCTGAGAACACCACTTTTTAATGTTTCAGACACTTCCCCTCAGCTCACTCAGGAAGGTGGAGAGGCATGAACTGCACTCCTCTCCTCTTTTCCTGTTTTTGGGGCACTATTGGGAGACTTGTACTATGCTGGCTCTATCTGCAGCCTCAAAACTACATTAAAACGTATAGGTCTAGAGACATTAATACTTTTTAAAAATCGTATTATTATTCAGTCCTGCACTTTAAGCATCTTCAAGGAACCCTGAAAAAAGCTCTATAAATAAAATGCATTATTATTATTGTTTAAAATAATCAGAATGATCATTTTAGATTAAGAATGTACTGTATATGGTCAAAACATAAATACATGAACTTCATATGCAAAAAGCCTGTAGGAGATATGGCCTGGTTTCACAGACAGGGCTTAGATTAAGCCAGGATTAGGCCATACCTCAATTAGCACATATAAGTAGCTTTTAAACATGCCTTGGAAAAATAAACAATAAAAAAATTAATAGATTAAAAAAACATTACTGGTGTGCATCTTGAGACAAACAATGGCACTGACATATTTTAAGATATGTTTGTGTAGTTTTATTTCTATAAATACTTTTCTCCATCTTTAGTTATGCAAGCATTTTCTTTACCCATTCCTTCTCATATATGTCAGCAGTGTCAGCAGAGGAAGGGTTGTGAGGAAGGAAGGATGAACAGAGAGCTGATTTTCTTTTCTGGCTTTCAGAATGTTCTAGGGTTTAGTGAAAAGGAAATCTGCACACAGTATATGTAAATGTATGCGACCTCTCATTTTCATGGGCGCAGAATACGCGGGGGACATAAATTCGTGTGTTCCATAGAGGTTTTCAGGGGCCAGTGTGAATAAATCTAGATTCAAATTAAAAGAGAAAAGATAGTCTATGCATGACCTGGTGTATTATTCGTATCCAAAATGGATCCACTCCCCTGCAGTGTATGTTTCATTCATACTCGAAGCCGGAGGCCGCTCTCACGCAGAAAGTCCAAAACAGATTCACAGAAGTAATAACTTATGACGTGCCAGGAAATCCCTAATATGGACAAAGGCATCCACAATTGCAACAATTTACTGTTTATGTGTGTTTTTCAAGTCATCTCCATAATAAACAAAGTATCTGAATAATGCAGTGCTAACTGACATAGCATTTATTACAGTTTAGAAACTATAATATATATATATATATTTTAGGGCTGGTAAGCGATTCAAACATCAAATTTGGTTGAGAAATTACTCCCAAAAGTTCATTTAAAGTCATTGTTGTGTAAAGCATCAAACAAACATTACAAAAAGTAGCTTCAGCAAGAAATATTTTGTGTGATAAAATGTATTACATATACTCTTTTGGACCATGAGGGTGAGTAAATGATGACACAATTGTCATTTCTGCGTGGGTGAACTATACTTTTAATAATTTATTTTATTAATTTTATTAATATTACTATGGAAATATGAAAGTATTTCTTTAAGGAAATTATACTCTAAATAATAAACTAAAACTGTCAGTAGGTGGTAGTAAATGATTAAGTCATCGAGTAATTTATTCATTCATTTGATTCGTTCACATGGCTGATTCATTCAGGAGTGAAGTAAATGGTTCTTTATGAATGGTCCATTGAATCATTAGGCTTGTTCGACTTGAAGCAGATCATCACCATCAGACCAATCGGTGTGTGACATCAAAGTACCGCAAGAGCTCTCGTGGTACTTTGATGTCATACACACAGCACTGCTTCAAATCCAACACGCCTATGGCCAGTGGTTCAACGCTCCAAATGGTTCACCCAATTCGTTCAAAACGTGCATTAAAGTCGGCATGAAACAGAAGTAGCAATTGTCTTTTTTTCTCTACTGTGACGTCTATCCGAGTGAAACGGCATCTGAAATGAGAGGGTGGGACTTGATTTCATACTTCGGGAATTGATTGGATCGTTGGAAGTTGGGGTGTTGCTAACAAAATGGAGGCGGATATGAATGCCAGTTTCCAGTTAGTTGTGGGGGGATTTCTCTCCACTTTGGTCCATTGAATCATTAGGCTTGTTCGACTTGAAGCAGATCATCACCATCAGACCAATCGGTGTGTGACATCAAAGTACCGCAAGAGCTCTCGTGGTACTTTGATGTCATACACACAGCACTGCTTCAAATCCAACACGCCTATGGCCAGTGGTTCAACGCTACAAATGGTTCACCCAATTCGTTCAAAACGTGCATTAAAGTCGGCATGAAACAGAAGTAGCAATTGTCTTTTTTTCTCTACTGTGACGTCTATCCGAGTGAAACGGCATCTGAAATGAGAGGGTGGGACTTGATTTCATACTTCGGGAATTGATTGGATCGTTGGAAGTTGGGGTGTTGCTAACAAAATGGAGGCGGATATGAATGCCAGTTTCCAGTTAGTTGTGGGGGGATTTCTCTCCACTTGATTCACCGCAACACCCCTAGCATGAAGACATTTTTTATTTATTGAGGAAGACGAGGACGATCAACGGCACAAAACATACCTAACAGCACGCACGCAGAGAGAGACTGCCTGAATGACTGAGCGTGTCCTCAATCAGGTTAAGTCATACTCATAAAAAATAGTTTGCCATGTCCTAAGAGTAATGTTGTGGTAATATCCTAATATCCTTTCAATTTTAAAGGTAGTCTCCCCCATGGCTTGTGTCAGCACTGGTCAATGCATTGATTTTGAGAATTCTATAAAGCATCAGCTTCAGTTTTCCCCCCTGTTGTTTATACCAGCGTTTACCCCTCACGTCCCTAGCTCCGCCTTTGCGCCATAGCCCGTGACCGGAAGAGAAGATGAGTCGTTTCGAGGGGGAGGTTAACGTTTTTGAGGGCACATGAATTTAAAAAAAATAATGAAGTGCGCGGATAAATTATTTATAATAAACACTACAGTATTCCATTAAAAAGTAAGAATTTTCCATTTTGATTTCATGGTAACTTTAAGAAATGAAATGCTGCTGTTGCTCGGAGACGAACAGTTCTGCTTTGTCTTTATATTTTCGTTGGCAAAACTGAGCAAAACAATTGGGCAAAATAACAGTATTAACTTCTTACTTACTGAACTGTTGTATAAGATCAGTATTTGCACTCGTGTGATATTGCACTTAGCCTATTGCTTAACTATATGATGTAAATATGAGACAAAAACTCAAACAGGGGCATTTTTTGCCTCATATCTTGAATTTTAGTGACATTCTACGTTCTCTAGGCTCCATCACTCAGTGAGTTGTTGCCCTGCCTCATATTTGTTATCAATCAACTGTATGAAATGTCAGATGAACCACAGGTCTGGGGCGGGGCAAGTACGTTAAATGTGTTAGTCATTTTAAAGCGTTATTTATAGATACATATGCCTTATTCCGTGATAAAAATGGAAAGAAATTGTAATATATGAACAAATTATAAAAAATATAGGAAAAAATATAGTGTCCCCCTCACTTCTGAAATGATGGCAACGCCCCTGCTCATTTGATCAAATCTTTCAGGAGAAATTGCCTTATGAAAAATATGTCCATATTATATTTATGCAATATTATCAAGTTCAGCTTTTTGCTAAAATAATTTGTGACCTTCAATTCAAGGTTGATCAATCACTAGTATTTGCATAGTTACAGGAAATGTTATAAAGGGCGCGTTAAGGTGCGCGGTACCTGTGGGAGGCGCTCGAGTCTCCATCAGTTTGGGGAGGCTGAGGACCGCCTGTTTGGTGGAGGTTTCACTCGATCAAACTGTCCACGGCTCTCATCTGCACCATTCTGAGTTTGTTGTCAGCGTTTGAGGTGTGGAGTTCAAGAATGCACGATAGCGGTAAGTGACGGATACCGTGGCGCATTAATCCTCACGTGTTACCTGTGTGGTGTTTTTGCCTTACCTGTCAGTGCGGCATGTGTTGCTGTTTGACTTGATGTCAAGTAGGGTAGCAAAAGCAAAAAACGCTGAAACATGAGAAATTTATTTACATTTAAAAATTAAATGACTATGAACTCTTTATATTTTCT